CGAAACTGGAGTACATATAGTCAAGTGCAAACAAAGAGAAGAAATCGACTATCTACACTCAGAATGAACTCCCTCGTATATATTATGCACAACAAGAGGTTAAGAGATAGGAGGTTGAAAATAAGGGGTTGAAGGATGATGAGGACCCGTTGGTGTGTGATGATGTGTCATCTGATAATGAGTGGTTCATAGATGATGAGACAGATTTGTCATTATCAGACTTACAGTTAGAAGATCTAAGTGTGGATGTCTTGAGGGGCGAAGCAGATCAAGTGAGCACATCCACTAAAACCACACCACACACATCAACTAGCTCTGCAGCACAACAATCAAGTAAAAGTATTCCACAACTTCTTATATACTATAGTATTATATTTAATTATTTATGTCAAGTGAGCAATTAACATGATAATGATCTTCTCTTATTGAACAGGGAAGAGAAAAGTGAGTCATATTGAAGATGATGATGAAATGACATTCATAGATACAATTGGAGAAGAAGATTCCCTTGAAGACCCACTTAGTAATGGGATATGATTGTATTTTATTTGTTATTTGTACTTTGTGAGTTTTATTAAACTAATATTTTCATATTTTGTGATTTTGTACTTTGGGGTATGATTTATTGCATCTACTTTCTTACTTTCCACTATTTTCATATATTATTTAGATGTTTTTATTGTAAGATAGAATATTGCTATTATTTTCCTGCTAAAACCCTTAATTTTTAATTTACGCAATTCTGTGTCCGTGAGGCTTACGCCTCAAACCGCCTCGAGGCTTACGCCTCACCTCACGGACAAAAATCGCCTCGAGGCTTATTTACGCAATTTTAAACCTTGTGGTGTATGAAATAGTTACATGCTTATAACCTAGGACTTTTTAAAGATTTGAGAGGGAGAAAATTTATGTTTACACCTTATGTTTGTCTCATGTAGATTTTGATTGCGTAAAAGGAAAGTGTCGTAAGGACTTTTGACGGATCACATTGTGGTGAGATAGGTGAAATGGAATTCTTTTAAATTTAGAAAACTCTTTACATGCAAATACATAGAAATGACAGTCCTTTTTATGCTCTTTATGATATCATTATGACTATCATGTTTCTTTATAAAAGCTCATGATCACTTGATGTAAAAGCAAAGTCTTATGATATGCTTTTTATGCTCTTCCGAGACGGGTGTTAATTATTATGATATTATGAAAATTGCATCTTTATGTTATATGCGTATGAGATTTTTATTTGAGGCATGAATCATTAAAGAGGAAGAATTGAAAATTTATGTAATGAATGAGAACTTAAAGGTTGAAGTAAAGACATATTTCACCTTAGGCAAATGTTGTATTATATTGATTATTTTTTTATTGAGATCTAAAAGCATGTTGTAGTTTTTTCGTTTGTATCTAAATTTATTTGAATGCCATTTACATCTACTGAGTTGTGACTCAGCTTGCTTATGGGACACATTTCAGGAGAACCTGGTAAAGGATAATGGCGAATAGACCTCCCCTTACGTACCGTCGTAAGGAGACGACGGGCGATAGGTTGTCTTTTTGTTTTTGATGTTTTGAGATAGAAGGATTAGAGATAAAATGTAAGGAAAGGATTTTGAACACCTTTTTATATTTTGGAAACCTTATGTTTGAATTATTATGTTGATGTGTTGTTGAATGAATAGAAAAAAAATTCCTCTTGATTTTATTTTAGTGGCTCTTCTTATGATTATATTGAAATGCGAAAGTTTTTATTTCCTACTGTCCGATTTCCGTTCCCGCCTCGCACTTACAAACTAACCAGGCCGGGTCGTGACATAGCCTCTCCATACCCAGCTAAGTCTCAGAGTTCCGTTTTATCCTTCTTGTTGCATCCTTTTAAGGGATCACCCAACCCGAAAATGATCTTACTCGAGCAAGCATAACTATGAAGTTCATAAAGAAATTATACATGGCAAATGCAAAGGCGTTCACATTTTTGGGTCTAACACTTTATTTATAAGCCCAATAACATTTTCATCCTTTTTGATGCGGGATTAAAATCATTCATACCTCTTATTCCCTTTGAATCCTATTATCTCAGAAGTATGCCAGGAGCCACTCCTTATTTGGATCTCAGCCCCTACAATCACTCATCAACCTCTTCGAAGTTATGATGTTATAGACCCACCAACTTCCACTTGGTTCATCCCTAAACCATATATTATAGGAGAGGAGGTCTATATTTGATATTAATCGCAACAAACCATAACATATTATGCAGGAGATTATTTGTTTTGGCCTAGCCTGTTGCATATCAAGCTGAGCCTCAATATTTTTTCCGTCTTAGTGTAACTTCCCAAAAGACTCCATCTTGAGAGTGCTCACATACAAACAAATTTATTTATGAACTCCTTAAGAAATTTCACTAGCTACACCAATAAACACCTCACATATTTGGGTCGGATACATTATTTATAAGCTCAATCTTTTCTACTCTTCCAATATGGGTTTTAAAATTCATTTATGTTCCCCTTTTTTCTAATAAGTCAGCCATCTTAGAAGCATGTCAGAAGTTGCTCTAGTCAAGGTCTCTGCCCGAACGATCACTCATTGCACTCTTAATTAGGAATCAAGATGTCACATTTTGAGTTTGCAACTATTGCAAATAAGGCAATGAAAAAGAGAATCAAGTGATTTGAGTATACATTATGGAACTTAGATGATGAACCAATAAGAAGACCAAATAAAGTTAATGTGTAAAGAGAAAATAAAATTGATTGGCCAAGCATAGCTTGAAGTTTGAACGAAAAGTTTCACTAAAAGTTGACAGTTCAGGCACCAGTGGATAAAGGTAAATGGAGAATGATGATTTATAAAGCTTGTCAAAAGTAATTGGGGTGGGCTAAGGATGCTCACTAAAACTTACTATATGTTAATACTTCTCTTAAATTATTGGCCAGCTAAACTTATGAAATGAAGTGAAAATGTCCATGTTTTGGATCAATATGGTTCAAATGAGGGAACATAATTGCCCGTTGTATTATAAATATTGCAAAGATTTGATGGCTTTCATGAAGGTTATCGATTGGTAATGCCACTTTCGGCTATTTTTGATACCTTTGCAATGTTGAGTGCAAAATCAATAGAAGAATTTTGATATTACATGCTCGCAATATTTATCTGGAAGTATAAATATAAGTGTAACTTTCACAGATTTTAATCTTTCCGGGAAAAATGATTTATTGAACAAGACGACACATACAGTGGCACATTTAGAGAGCTATAATGCTAAAGCAATTAGGAAAAAAAAGGTTTAAGGAATTATTAGTAACCGAGCAAGTTTACATAAATCATAACAGTAATCCCTTTAAAAGGCAGAAAATCAAGAGAAAAAACTGAAATGCACATTCACTCTATCTATCTATCTAAAAGCCCATAGAAAAAAGAGAGTATCATTTGAATAAAACTGCGAAAAATACATTATCTTCATAAAATTCCATGGAAAAGGAGAGAAAATCATGAGTAATGCTGAAGTCCATAAAAAAAATGCACACTCAGTATGGTATCTTATTATGGAAGAGTACCAGCATAGATGATGTGCAGAAAACACAATGGTAAGTGCTATCAGTATATCTATTATGACCAAATTGATATTTAATAAGAAATAGGCAAGCACAAAAAACGGTAATAAAAAAGTAGAACCTAATTAATAAAAACTCTACAGCAACAACATCAAGCCTTTATCCATTATGTTGGTTGGCTCTTAACATTTTTTTTCTCTACTGTGCCATGTTAATAGCCAAATTCTCATTTAAATTTAATAAAAAATATTATTTCTAATATTTTATAGCCAAGTCTTTCTAGGTCTACCTCTACCTTTCTTAACATAGGCCAAAATTCAATACATCTACTCTACTAACATAGTCATCAGAAGACCAATATTTTGTGTCCCCATTTACGTACAGACTTGTTTTGCATTCTATCTCTAAGAGTGAAACCGCTCATCCACTCGAGCATTCTCATCTCTATAACACTTAAATTTATGCTTCTCTTTTCATGGCCAACATATTGCATCATAAAGCATTGCAGGTCTCACCACCATCTTATAGAATTTTCCTTTAATAAAAAGTTTAAGTACCAAATAAACTTCTACTTAATAGGTAATTTTGGAACGAAATTATTTCATGTGCATAAACACTCCAATCGGCATAAATATTCACCTTCTCATCATCAACAGTCTCAACCATGTCAAGATTTGGAACACCACCTGCAGAAAACATGACAATAATATTTATACATTATTCTAAAACAATTAAAAATGATTGTTGCATTTAGGTATAATTTGCAGCATAATTATTACTCATACAACAACAACAACAAGCCTTTATCTCACTATGTGGGGTCGGCTGCATGAATCCTTTTCCGAGTCAAGCAAGAAAAAAGATTTAAGACAAATAGTGCCATTGCAAAACTTACTATTCCAAAGCAAATCAAATATTTGTAGCATAATCAATAAGAATGCAGAATAAGAAAAGAAAATTATAGAATGTTCTATTTGGCTAGGAGAATCCAGATTTGAACATTGGGATATTCATTGACTAATGAAGGTGATTTTAGATCACTTGTATATACGAGCTTTTTATGTGGATTGATAACGTTATGTGGAGACCAAAAGTTATAATTTTATATGGGCTGTTTGGCTTAGTTTGTGAGAAGATGAAGTGTTTTGAGGCCTTGAAAAGATGGAGAGCATGTAGGAGAACAAGTGAAAAGAGAGAAAGGCATATGAAGATTCAAAACCATTATATATGGTTGATTCACAAATCAATTTGAAAGCTGGCAGTGCATAACCACCTTAAGCGCATGCAGTTTCACAAGCAATTCACAAGCAATTAAAAGAACATTTTTCATTAAATCATGTGCATAAATAATACACAAGAAGTTGTGAAAAAAGAGGAAAACATATGGAGCCACCTCAAACTACCCTCCAAAGATATGAGAGATTATCGCGTGTGGAGTCCGGACTGAAGTTGCATCTGGATTTTGTGAGTGTGCGCAGCAAAAGCACGGTGGTGAATAGTAACTACATTTTTCCTGCACACACTCATAAAAACCGGATGGTTCTCTGGCAAGGACTCCACACATAATAATCTCTTCCAAAGATATAGTTGTTGGCCCCTCTATTTGGAACTGTAGTTGGAAACCATCGCAAATCACTACAATCATTAGAAATCCCACAATCTTTTATTGCAATTATGCATCCTTAACTTGGGGTGATTTAATAGCTTCCAAAGAGATAATAACACTTCAAAAACTCCCTCCATGAACATGTATGGTTGGGCCTTCTTGTACATAAACTAATGTAAAAAATACAAGCTACAATTAATTGGATTTTAATGATAAATCTTTCAAATTAATCTAATGAGGGTCCACTTTGATTGTTCTGCATCAAAAGACTTTTTAATAATAATAAAGGCCAAAATTTTAAATTTTCTCAAATCCCAAGAATTTGATCAAAAGCTGCAAATCTTGATTTTAGCAATCTTAGATTCCGTCATGTTTCAAGATATAGAAAACTATATACAAAGGATCAACCCTAGAAAAGACCTACTCAATGTCTCAAACAACAATATCCCGACTTTCATTACAATGAAAATCATATATAATAGGTAACAGGACGCTCCATTTAGTGAATTAAGGCAACTGACAATAGAAATGGCAACCCTACATTTTTTGCTATAAAGCCAAACACGTCTGGTATTCCCAAATCTCAGCTATAGTAAAAATCACAAAACAATGAAAATAGTAACGACCTACCAACCAGCCTAAGATGGTAATATCATCAATAAAAGATCCCATATAAATAGATATAGAGAACTAGCCTAAGATGCTAATATCATCAATAAAAGATCCCATATAAATAGATATAGAGAACGATAAGTTTCAAACAAATTGCATGTTTGGAAAAAAAAAACAGAGGATCAACTTGTTGAAATAGGGAATCTAAAAATTTTGAATTAGGGAATTAAAATTAGTTGAATTAAACATTTGGAAATAATTGAACTAGAGAATTTGATGAGGACTAAATCGAACTAGCTTGTAGTCTAACTAGTAACCAATTCAACCGAAGGAAGCAAAACATCAGAGAACATATCATGATATCATATACATCATTATTATTGGCATATTACATAAAAAATAAACTAGAAAAATTATAAACAATGACATAACGAAACCTAAATAATTATAAGCACATTTGATTTGTATTTCTAGTGAAGATAGACATTCATATTTACATTATTCCCTTTGATTTTATGATCACAAACAATTCCATATCATTGGCACCAAGAAGCTAACGATTCAGTTTAGTTCCACAAGCGTGGATGGTTGGACATCTTGTCCACTATTGCAGAGGGCTCAAGAGAGACTCTATCCATCATAAATTATCACAGTTCATTCTTTCAAGGTCCAGCTAAGTTTGGCTCTTTTTATGGTGCATGGTGGGGGAGAGTAGAAGATTATAGAAGAGAAAGAGACGACGAGTAAGAGAGAGAAAGAATGAATCACCTCATGGAGATTTCACTCTATGAAAACAGCTTCTCACTATAGACAATTTATTGAGTAATAAAACTAAACTTCTAACCATCTTCACTTGAGATTCACTGCCGCTTCTTCAACCTAGCTTTTTTTAAAGATGATGTTTGAGAACTAATTCTTAGGAAAATATGAGATGCAATAGGAACATTGCTTCTAATGGAAATTTGTTCTTTCCATTACACAAGGTAGAGGAGTTAGGGCTAAGGGCGTTCATTAGGATTGCATTAGCATTAGGAAAGCTACATAAATGCCATAGGTGAAATCAGTGGCTAAGGACGAGTTGGTGCATGCGGGGGAGAGTCGAGAAAGATGGTCAAGGTATAAGTTAGTGCATATACATAGGAAAAAAAATTAACTATCATATCTAAGTAATTTAAAGTCATTATTGCAGTATTTTTATTGTTATATCATCTCTATTATTTATTTTAATTTGTTATGAGCAATATGATTATAACTCACTTTATGATAAATTTAATTATTGGCATTATCTTATAGGATCTTCTATTATAAACCCAAAAGACATGTAAAAGTCAGTATAATTAGTGGATAAAAATGATTTTGAACATGCTTCTCCCTCCTCATAGGCTAATTCATTTTTCCCTTTTCTTTTGGTCCTCTTCTTCAATCTTCTTATTGTAATAAATAAAGCTAATATCAAGAGAATAAATAAGGAAAAGAAAGGAGAAGTACATTGAAAAAAATCATTTTTATCCACTAATT